AACCATACAGGCTTACCCTGAATGCAATACATGCGAAAAATTCAGGCGCACGCTTTAGGGGGCGCTAAAACACATGGTTTCTCACATAAGTTCAATGACAAAGTGTAAAACAGTTTGAAAAGTATAGGAAAGGAGGCGCCAAGAAAAAAATGGCATGCGGACGTTGGGGACCCTTAGACCGCTCCTGTATACAAGGTAAGGACATACAAAGTTTCTAATTTTTAAGAAAGCAGTTCACAAATAAATTGTTTCGTGCACTTTGGGACATGAACCATAAATCCAAAGGATACATGTCATATATTGTAATCAACATTCGCTTACCTCAAAACGTAGGAGGAGGGTTTTGGAACAAATGCAAGTCTCTTTTTTTTATTGGTAGATCTTTTGGTCTGTTTTTAGCCATTATTTCTTGCATATTGCATACTTGGAGTAGAAGTTAAAAGCCAATCACCTTTGACAGGTTTTAATTTTTTTGTATTCTTGGTCTTGTAATGTCTGCGAAACAGTAATATGTCATTTTTGTCCATTGTATAAGAATGTCATTTTGTCCAAAATTGTACAAAAATAAATAATTAATCAAAATTTCTCCAAACACCTGATTATTGTAATAAAATTGATCTAAATCACTAACACTGGCATAATTTAATCGATTTTAGTTGAGTAATTACCAATATGACAAAAACACTCTTCAAAGCGCGAAATTCGTTTGAACTAATTACTACGACAATGTACTGTGACAATGACGCTCAACATCTGACAAGATTGTTATTATGGCTTTCTCCACAATAAACAATCGCAGAGTCGTCACTAAAACTAGCCAATTTTTAAATAAGGCCACTGTCTATATATACCATTTTCCCTGTATTTTCCCTAATACGCTACGCGACGTCCATCTTGCTGATTTTTTATTTTTTATTTTTTGTTTTCATTATACGTTTCAAAGGCATCGTGTTTTGTATAGAATTTCTGCTGCCTTTAAAAAGTTTGGCAGTGCTTCTAAAGTTGTAATGGTTAATTACTGTGACGACTGCCAAGTTGCATATGGGTTCTAAAAGACTCATTGTTTTTGAATCATTTTTAAAATAGATATAAATAAACTCATATATGAATCATAAAATCTTACCTAATTTTTTTTTTTTGGCAATTATTACCTACTATTTGAAAACACTGTTGTTGTTGAATAAATGATCACAACATATAAAATGATCACAATTACAATGACCTTGTGGAACAAGTTTGTAAAGATAATAATTCGGTTCACCTTGCAGTTGAAAATCTAGAGTAGAAAAGTCGCGATAAAGCATCAAAAACAACAAAATTTAATATCAAAATTTAATCGTAATTAGTAAATGACTTCTACTTTACTATGAATAATAATAATGTAAGAAAATTGGGGTTAATGGAAGGAAGAAATAAAATATGCATAAATAATATTTTGTTTGAAGGCAAAGACTTCTGAATATATGTAAAAAATCCATTCAATCAAAAAGATTTGAGCTTTAACAACTATTGACACAGTCTATTATTCCCAAAGTCAATTCTTGTTGGATCAGATATACTTTTTCGAATTTTAGTGTCATTCGGTTCAGAATGACTTAAAGCGACGAAAAATCAAAATTAGAAAATTTATTATCTAATATTTTAAAACACATGGGCATAAATCTGTGATATGAGAAAATTATTTTTATAAATTATTGGTTTTAAGTAAATGTCAATAATTTCTAGTTTTTATTAAAAACTAGTTGTTAAAAAAATGCAATATGCATTGAGCATGTTTAATGAAAGAACATGAACAATATCACATAATTTTTTGTTAATTGTAAGATTATTAAAAATATAATTTATAAGAAGTCGTTGTTTATTTGCCTCAATATGAAGCAATAAAAGTTAGCAACTAATTAGAAGAAATAAAAGGAATGAAATCAAAGAGTTAAATGTAATGTAAAATTCAATATAATATGAAGTTAACATATATACATAGATTAAGAATCTGATCAGTTCATCAAGTAACATAACTTAAGTTCCTTAGAATTTGCAATTTTATATCAAGAGATTTCGCCTTAATTTAATAAATAATTTACAATAGTAATTTTCAGTGTCTTGTGTACTTACTAAAGAGTGGAGTAAACTTGTGATTTTTTTAGTATTTGTATTATTACTATTTTCATTATTACGTATATTCTATACTAAATCGGTCGTATTTTCGTAGACGCTTTTATCATAACGTATATTCTTACTCATATAATATGTGTCATATTCATAACTAAATCAGTCTTACAATTAGTAAAAGTAATACTCTAGAATTAAGGGGGCGTCCATTTATCACGTGATCGATTTTTTAAGGATTTTTGGACCCCCCTTGGTGATACGTAGTAATATTCAAAACTACCCACTGAAATCGTTTTTAGTAAAAGTAATACTATATAATGAAAACGTTTTTGGAGTTAAGTGAACAAACTTAGCAACGTAGTGGAAAAGACTATTGTTCTTTAGACATTAATTTAAATAACTTCTCTTAAATTTCACCTAATAGTGCCATGCATATGTGATTTAGAATCATCCAACATAATATTGCACAAAAATATATCGTTTTGAATTTTGTAACTATATTGCTAATAGAATGAAAAACTCAGAAATCAAGGTTTAGCTCTCAACATCTGTGTTGTAAAATTGCTAGAAATTTTTAATTTGGTTTGACTATTATTTACAAAATCCTCTGCCCATAAATCATGTGACTCAATATATAATTTTTATTATATATGAACATAATTGTACTTATGGTAGGAATGTGTAATAATAATTGTATTTGAAAAGTAAGATCAATTAATGGTGTGGCAGTTTTTAATAATAATTCGCGTAGAACTCTCACTGTTTGTATTAAATTCATACTTTATTTTTCTACTGAATATTTGAGAATCACCTGGAATGCTATGGCTCCCAGAAATGTTTTGTGTTATATAATGTATATATTAATTTAGATTTTTATACCAGTGTATATATTAATTTTAATCAGTGTATCTTCTTCTTGAAGAAGTAGCTTCCTCTACTCAAACTTCAAAAAAAAGAGTTTTTAGCCCTAGAAGCCACAAATAAAAGGACAAAAAACTTAGAAATATTATATCAGGCTTTAAAAACAATTAAGCCTAGTTCAGTTCTAGTTTGTATTAAATTCATACTTTATTTTTCTATTGAATATTTGAGAACCACCTGGAATCACAAATGCGATCTACTTACTAAATTCTATGTACGCGAATTAAACTGCGCGTATTCAACTTTTTTTTGCTGTCAACCAATGTGTCTTTGTACTCAAAGACCAAAAGGTCAAATTTGTATTTATTTAAGATGTTACGGTTGAATTAATAAATCGAGAATAATAGAGAATGTTAGTTTTTGTGATTTTAATTACTCATTCATGTGAGAGCAGTTTGAACTATGTTTTGAAATTGTAGCCTTATATATATTGAAGTTCAATCAACTGCAATTCATAAGGAAATACCGAGGGGTAATATACGTATCAGCGAAATAACTATTATTCACATCCAATGTACTTTCAATATTCATATTCAAAAAAAAAAATCAGAAGCAAATGTATTTATGTGAAATCCTATTTTGATTTGAAAATTTTTAGAATGAATTATTTGTGCCACATCTATATGGAAAATCAACGTAACAACCGAATCTGTTGCTTTTAAAACAATTCCCATTTTATTAATTACAGAAAAATGTTAACAACAATAACTGAATAAATATTCTCAATAAATTAGTTAAATTAAAATAATATTTTCTGAGGCGCACACAGATTATATTATTGAGGTTTCTTCTATAAAATGTAGATGGTTAATGAGAGCACTACTTAGGGGACGTCCATTAATCACGTGAGGTTTTAAGGGGGAGGGGGTGCTTTGACAAAAAATCACGAAATATCACGTGGGAGAGGGAGGGATATAGTAAGATGTGTATTTATTTCTTAACCGATTTTTTTTTAAAAAATTCAAACATTTAAAAAAAAATCATAATTTTTACAGTTTTATCACGTAACTAAAAATACACGTGGTGTTTGGTGGGGGAGGGGGGTTAATTTTGAATATCACCATGTATCACCAAGGAGAGAGGGGGTCCAAAAATCCTTAAAAACTCGCTCACGTGATTAATGGACGCTCCCTTAAATATCCAAAACTTTTATTTGGTCCTTTTTGAACAAAGTTGATGCGCATATTTAATAAATTCTGACTGAATTATATTTTTGTTGTAGTAAATAAAATAGATATAAAAAATCAGAGAATGCAAAGAATATACTTTCATTTTCCTAACAATAAGTGTAAATCTACTTAAATGACAAGAGTAGTACGAAGATTAGGACAAAAACAAATCTGGTTCAATACCAGCTAAATGTATCAAGTTTTATTTGTTATTAAAATAAAAAAATGATATAATGATTCAATATTTTTTTGTACATTTTAACTACAATCTGTCCCACTTCAGAACATTAAGTAATTGTTTTTACTTTATTATATGTATTTTTGAATGGATGGCAACTCAGCAGTAGTCCAATCCAATTATGACTAATTAACTAGACTCTAAGTATTTGTTAACATTGATCACTCAATGTTAGATGTCTTAAAATATAGCAGATTTATCTAGATCTACTATATGCATATTTCACGACAATTTTTAAACATTTTTATATTGGGCATGTCTAAATTTTTATGCATAAGATACATATTTTTACCTTAAAATAAATGCAGCAAAATTCAAAATAAAGTCATTGTTTATGAAATATTTTTCAATTTTCGCATTTATTGGTATTTTCCAACTTTAAGTTATTAAATAAGTGAACTATTTTCAAGATATGATGAAAAGTAATAGACATCCGAATTCACTAAAATTTCATTTTTTAAGTACCTACTTATTTAAATAATCATTTATTAGATTAGAACAAAACATATTTTGGGTTGCAAAACCAATAAAACAAGAACTTGAAGATGGTAATTTGGGTAGGTAAGTGGCTAGAACTACAGGACCTGAATCAGAGGTACCGAGATCGATCCCGCTCCGAGGAGCCTGATGTCAAGCAGTAGTGACAACGGTTTTCACTTGGAAACATAGATAGGAATATGTTGACAGATATTGCCATTAAAATATCCATCAGATGGGGCAACTGTTTGGGTTGCCATCTATAAGCAAAAAATCGGTTTGCAAGAAAATCAATACAACAGCTCACAGAACCATGGGATTCTGATTGCTGTTAAAAAAATTTTATAAGAAAAAAAGATAAGTAAAACTTACCTACTCTGTGGACAATTGTGGATTTCTCTTCTCACACTATATTAAGCTTCAGTGAAATTGGTTTCTGTAAGTTAAAAAATATATAAATTTAATATTTAGTTTTTTTTAAGTATAAAAAGCACTAACACTGTAAAGAAGCACAATTTTCATAAAAAAAAATCTTAGCAAGAATATATGAGCATATCAACACTACTAGCGTAGGAAGTTAATACAAGAGTATTAATAACTATTATTTATTTAACAGTTCCTTAGTAATCCGATTTTATTTTTTGCTAAAATTTTAAAGCTCACTTATATACTCAAATAAGCAATTTTAACTTTGCAATTCAGTTTATATAATTGTAAGAAATATGAGATAAGGTTGTTTATTCTAACTCCGCTTAATTAAGTTTTGTTTATTCACTTTTCATGTAATTATATATAAACGTCGTCGTCCAATTTGTAAATTCTTATAATAATCTATTTGAAAACATTTAATATTTTTCAATTACTTCATTACTGCACGCGAAGTTTCAGCAATTCGCTTCAAGGCACGATGCCATACACCACTATGTTATTTCTATGACAAATCGATTAAATAAAAATGAAAATAAAAACTAATTGTTGATATGATTAATATATTTACAATATGATTAGAGTGATTTATACATTTGACTCACACATTGCACATAGTTTTCTAAGAAATAAATCCAACCAGCTTCATAATCTAATTGGATTATCAATTGATTTATATTGTTGAGTTGATCACAATACGATTTTCTTGTTACTATGTACATTTTGTTTATTTGAATGGAATTATACCGTCGGAAGTATAACTAAACCGAGCAAAAATAATACAAATATTTATACTCCAAATGCGATATTCGTCGTTATATCCGCGGACGCAAATGCGGTTAAAATAAATATTTATTGAAACCGATTTAATATTAGCATAAGTGTGCCAGAATTTAAGATCGCGGTTTTGATGAATTTTTAAATAACGAACAACATATTTTAATTATAATTAGCAGCTAGAATTTCATAAAACTACCTCAATTCATTAAATTAGATATACATTTTTTTAAAAATCCATTTGTGTAAAGTATAGTTTTTTATTACACAAAACAGTGATATCGAAAGATACCAAAGTTTAAAAGCTTTGTATTATAGTCCTCCAGGTTAAAGTAATTGAAAGCGAATAGGTTAAAGTAATTGAAAGTAATACAAAGCTTAATTAAGAAGATTTACTTTTATTTTGTGAATTATTAACAAAAATAATTTCTCTGCTTTTTCTGTTCTTTTGAAGTAAAACTTCTTTAGGCGCGAATAGGGTGTAAAATCAGTACAAATGCAACAGAAGACAGTTACGCCCGAACTGTTTCGTCATTTGCTCTCGATGAGATCATTTCAATGCAGGTCTATTGTAATTAGTCGTCGTGTATGTGAATAAAGATCTGTCGTTGTATGCGTACCGGCATCAACGTTGTGTGTGTACCGATATCAACAACGAAAACGGCATAGATAAATAAACATTTTGAAGTTACATCGCAGTACAAATCTTGATTTAATGAAAAATGTCTGAACCAGAAGAATAGTTTACCCTGTTCTTTGAAAATAATAAAACAAATGCGACATTTGCGCCGTGTACGAAACATAAGATTATTGAAATAATTTCTATAAAATTCGTAGTTTCTATAAATCTTTGAAGTTATTCAAATGGTAAATATTTTGTAGGCAAGACAGATATGACAGCTGTTTAAAGAATGAGATTATATCGCCAGCAAAAAAGTAAAAAAAATACAAGCAGTCAATGAAAGTATGTTAATTTTAATTACATAAAGTTCTTCAAACACAATTACATGATGAGTGAAATTGCAAAAACAATATTTGTTTAGGCCTTGTTTAACATAATCCACTGTATGAACGAATATTATAGAATTTATTAATCAGCAATTACTTCATTTCTCTAATGAAGGTTCATTTCTAAATGCAAATTACAACGACAAACCGATTATGTCATATTTGAAGTATGACTTTAATTACATTATTGTTTTCAAATATTATACATATTCTTAATAAATTATCATTATATAAATGTGTATAATGGTTGACACCAACAAATATGTGCATCACGAGTGTTACCATATTACTAATAAACATTATTTAAAATTGTTATATGATGTATTTATTTTTATTTAAATGCCATCTTGTACAGTAGCAAATAAGTTTTACTCTAAACGCGTGTGAACCTTACGCCCACTTTTTTTATTTTAATGATAAATATACTTGTCAATATGCACAATTTTTCCACTTTTCCATGACAAGCATAATCGTCAATCCCAACTAACTCTTTAATAATAATATAAAACTCTAATTATTACTCTAAATACTATTAAAAGTTAATAAGATGAGATTTGTAGCATTTTTCAGAATATTTTCATATATTCTTGGAGTACAACTTGAAAATTATAATTTCATTGAATAACTAACGACTCACTTTTCCTATTAATCACAATATTATTCAAAATATAGTCATCTTTAGTGAGCATTATACCATTCCTTATATTCATTAAAAGCTTGTGTATGAAAATATAATATAGTTAGGTGTAAGTTGCATTTCACCTTCAGCAAAGTTGCATAAACTTCCTTATAGATAATCGACTAATCAAAAAGAATTAGAATTTGGCGATTTACTAAATTAATACGAGAGAATTTTGAAATATTGACGCAGCTTATTATTTTTCACGACGATATTTTTCTTAATAAAACCAATTTAATTGGTTTCAAAATTCTCTCGTAATAATTTAGTAAATCACTATGACCATACGTTTTATTACTATACAAATTTTTAATTATACTTCGTTTTATTAAACTTGTCGAAAATTGTTACTTATGCTTGTCATGAAATTCAACAATGAATTTCAAAGAAATTGCCCAACCGATCTTCATGAAAAACTCATTCAAATTTCAAAGTTTTCAAAATTTTTAGGTAAAAACGTGGAACAGTCTTGCACTTTGCTAATTATAGAGATTTAATTATAGAGAAACGGCTTGGTTGATCATCGCTCAAAACTACTCAACAAGAATACTTATTTTTAATTATTTATTTATTTATTTATTTATTTATTCATAAGCAAGCCGTAATCAATAATAATAAATATTATTTCAGGCTCTTCATAATTCATAATTTCAAGCTTACTCATTAATTAATACTTAAAGTAAAGTAATTTTATAATATTAACGAGTTACATTGAATGGATTTTAAATTTTTAATGTTAGTACAAGAAAACAACGATTATTGACTCACATACGCACATTTTTTTTCTAATATTCGCAATCTCAAACTATTCGGAATAACTTGTGATGTCGGATTTCCTGCAAAAACAAACTTTTTCTTCTCCGCATATATAAAAATTAGTAAGATGCTTCTAAAATCACTCATATATTATTCCTACATTATGTAATTTTTGAGAAATTTTCCGGATTGTAACATTTCCAAATTGTTGTCAGAAATTCCACGGACAATTGCACTAACAAAGTATCATTATACAAGTCCAATATTGAATAATGACAAAACACAATCTTCTAAGAGCCGTTTAATACAAAGAATTTTCCATATAGTATATTTTTATTGCAACTATATGTGGTGAATCTCCGTTGCTCATAAAAACAAACATTAAAATGAAGTCGTTTTGTCGGCTTCCGGAACTCGGCTCAAGAATAAATCAAAACACACCCTTCGGAAAGTGAAAAAAATGGCCCGAGAAAAAATTGCTTTCAACGCTATGTTTTGCCCTACTAGGGGATGAATTAAATTTACTTATTTCCAAAGTGATTATTAAACGTAACAAAAGAAAATTAAAAAAAATAATACGTAAGATGATATATGTTCAAGCAGTGCATTGTGCATTAGGTAACTCTATTAGGGTAGAGCGAGTTAAATTAGCATGAGAAATTATAAACAAGGAACTTAGGTCGAGCAAAACAGTTTAGGAGTAACATAATGTTACATTAAATTTAACTTCAATAACTAATATTTACTACATACAAATTATTATTACATAAAATAGAAATATATGATAAAATTAAATGTAAGGCATGATAAATATCGGCAAATTACCAAAACTTTTCCGCTCACAATTGTGAATGTTTTTTGCCTTTTTTCAGTTAAATGGTTCCTAAAATTTTTTATTATAGATAACTTGATATTGAGCAGCAGTAATATCTATTTTAACTAGAAAATATAAATTCAGAAAAGTTTTTCTGAGTGAAAGTGGCCCTTCCCATTCATTATTATTATTAAGGAATAAATAAGATACAATACTGCAGTTAATCAAATAATATTTAAAAAAAATATAAAAATCTGTATTGAAATAGGTTAACCATTTGCGTTACTATCTAAATGCTGTGTAACAAGGAGAAGTTCTAGTAAAATCTCATCGAATGAAGTTCTGATTTCTATTAAAAAAATTTAAAAAAATCTTTTTGAGAGATACTAAAAACTAATATGAGTCACATTAAAGACTTAAGTCTACTCTAAAATAACGTATCAACCATTCGAGTGAATATTTTATTAAATTAATAGTTATTCCAAATAGGATGATAAATATTTCTGATGAAATACTAGATCAAGGTTAAATAGAGTATAATCTTTGTAAAGAATGTGCCCATAAAATTTATTCTGCATTAGTTTTTTTTTATTTTAGTACTAATTTTAATCAGATTACAATATAATATACAAGGTAAAAGTGAGGGAGTTAAATAACTAATAAATAAATAATAATCATTTCGTAAAATCCCTTTAAAATTAAAAAGACGATGGATTTTTTTTCTCTGTTTTAACCTCATCTATGGGGTGGAAGAAAACAGGAAAAAATATTTCTATAAGTAGGATTTAACTGGAAATTCTACTGAACATAGTTGAACATAGTTGTTTGATACGTATTATGTATTGTGATGCAGTTAATTTAGTTTAGACATCATAAAACTGAAAGTAAAATTGATCTGTTGTGCCTCGATCTACCCTATTTCAAATTTTTGAAAAACAAAGAGATAATTGAAAAAAAAATTGAATCTAATTCTAAA